CTATAATTTGTAATATAAGAATCCACTTCTGTAATTTTAATATTATAATATTATTATTGTAGAGCGTGTCTGTACGTCTGTCTGTGATTTATATCTATAATTTGTAATATAAGAATCCACTTCTGTAATTTTAATATTATAATATTATTATTGTAGAGCGTGTCTGTACGTCTGTCTGTGATTTCTTTGGGAAACAACCAACACTGTCTAGCTTGAAGCACTGCAAAGATAAAAATTGTAATAGATTTTGATAAAATGTGATAGAAATTTATGATATCAAATTTAAATGTGAAATATTTGATGCAATGATAAAGTTCTTTGATAATATATAATTCTTACTTTACTGTACTTTCTTTATGCTTTTTTTATATTTTTGGAAAATAAAATGTTTAAAATATTTTTGACTGTTCAGAATACACAATCTGACAAAGTCATCTATGGATGTTATAGGAGTAGTTTTTTAGCTCAAAGAGGAAAGAACATAGAAACCTGAAATTTTGCAGCCATAATAGGTAGACCTGAGGGTGTGCACCTAGGTAATATTACTTATTTAGGTTTTGTTTTTGTTTTGTTTTTGAATTTCGAGCAAAGCTACACGAGGGCTATCTGCGCTACCCGTCCCTAATTTAGCAGTGTAAGACTAGAGGGAAGGCAGCTAGTCATCACCACCCACCGCCAACTCTTGGGCTACTCTTTTACCAACGAATAGTGGGATTGACCGTCACATTATAACGTCCCCACGGCTGAAAGGGCGAACATGTTTGGTGTGACGGGGATTCGAACCCGCGACCCTCAGATTACGAGTCTAGGGCCCTAAACACCTGGGCATGCCAGACCACTTATTTACGTGAGTGCACGCCTGTGCACCTTTTCATGCGAAAAACCACATAGAAAAAAAGGGGTTCCTTATACTGCAAATAGAAATCACAGACAGACAGACAGACACGCACATCTTTTTTTTATGCGAAAAACCAAATAGAAGGGAAATGTGACTGCCATAACTGCAAGAGTAAAAACCTAAAAGCATAAAATTTTACACCCATACTAAGTGGACCCTGAGAGTGCCCACCTAGGTATTATTACTTATGTAATCTACATACGTGCATGTGTGTGCACATCTTTTTAATGGGGCAAGCTAGCAAAAAACACATAGAAAAGAAGTGGTTCCTTATATTACAAATTATAGGTATAAATTACAGACAGATATGCAAGTGCATGTGCGCATGCACATCTTTTTAATGAGGCAAGCTAGTAAAAAACCATAGAGAAAAGATGTGGTTCCTTATAAAATAACTTCTAATATATATATAGAAAGGCCAGTGCATTTTTGTAACAATGTGTTCCAACAATGGCTTTTTTGCCATGTCACTTAGCAACAAAAGTATAACTTAATATTGTTGTTAGTCTATGTACTGAAAGTATAAAATAATATGTATAAACTACAAAACTGGAAAATATTTGTTGATTTTTTAATTTAGAGTTTTCGTTGATTAATGAGGTATTTTCATTAAAAATGTTGGTGATATAACAGATACTACTGTTGCTTGTTAATAATTTCCGGTAGAAATTCTTTCCAAGGAACTTCAGCGATACAAGTCCTTTCGTGATTAAACCAGTTTATTCTTCCTCGATACAAACTTTTAATACACAGTAAATCCACAGTCACTACGTTTCTCGTCTCTTTACTTAACAACTTTTATAATGAACGCTAAAAATCACAGCAATTCACAATCTCGAAAACACACACTAGCTCGAAACAGATTCATAAATTATCCGGAACTCTCTTCATTCAATATTCAATCATCCTGCAGGCCTTCTCTGCCAGGCTTATATACTAAAAAGGAGGACGTATCGAACGCACTAGGAAATTCATTATCATTCCAGAAATTTCATGTACGCTACCAGCGCCAAAGGCGCCAGCAGCGTCACGTGACTTCTGCTGTCGTAACATTGCCCCTTCCTTAGTATTGTTCGTCCCGAACAATAGTCACTTACATTTAATCAATAGATAATTAACAACAACTTAATTAAATTTATAGAATTTACAAACACAAAATTAAAATACCTCAAAGTCTCTTAATTTTACAGGACGTTTCTTCTTCTGTACTGGTCTCCATCTCATTGGCTTCTGCTTCATGTGGAGTTCATCTGCTCCATCAGGAAATGTCCCATCAGTGGTAGTAACTTCATTAACAGCTTCATTGTTTTCCTTCTCAAAACCGGGTAGAGTTTCTTCTTCGACAATGGCTTTTTCAGGTGATATCTTCAGCAGCACCATTTCTCCATTGTTCAGTTTGTTCCAACTGAAATGACCTAGACTGTGATAATGTCAAAGCCTGTTGGCATGCACCACCTTTGGCTTACCTCGCCGACCACATTTTATTCGAAAAGTCATGTTTGAGAGAAGATCCTCTATGTCATATAGGCCTTCCCATGGAGAAGACAACTTAGGAGACTTCCCTTTGGTATTCCTGGGATTATACAACCACACCTTGTCTCCTGGAACAAAGCTGACTTCAGTAGATTTCTTATCATAACAAAGCTTCATGGAATCAGCAGACATTTTTAAGTTTGAACACACTTGATGGTGAATATCATTCATCCTTTCAGATAACACTTTCAAGAACTCTGGCACATTTTAAGGCAATTGGTTGGAGGGTATCCAGTGGATTCATGCTCTGCTGTTCTATAGGCCATCAACAGTGTAGGGAGTAAGACATCCCGGTCATCTTCGTAACTATCACAAAACTTTGCCAATTCCTGTCCCAGTGTCCAATTGTACTTTTTTACCATCCCACCAGACTGTGAGTGAAGTGGTGTTGTCCTGGTCTATGCCAAACACCTTGCAGCATTCATGGAACACAGCTGAGTCAAAGTTACGACCTTGATCTGAATGCAGTTCGTATGGCATACCAAACCTGAAGAAGAAATCACTAATAGCTGAAGCTACAATTGTAGCTTCCTGATTTGATATTGTATATGCCTCAGGCTACTTGGTG